ACCCCACCCCCTTAACCCCCATGCCACCCGCTGGCCCTAAAGTAAATAATTCTAAAAAAAAAAAAAATTAAGTTCCAGGGCCAGTCCCATACCTAGTGGTTAAGGGATCTGAAGCCCACATGCCTGACCAAGGTTTAAATCCCAGTCCCAGTGGCTTGAAAGCACATTGGGTGCACATGTGTGTGTGCACACATGTGTGTGTGTGTGTGTGTGTGTGCACGCACGCACGCACGTACATGCCCAAATTCAAACAGGGACACAGCACCCACGGCGGGGTGCTCCCCTTCTCTGTCTCCCTCTGACAAGTGTTTACACTCTCTGGCAACCAAAGAAATAAAACATCAAGCTTTAGTCATTAAGAGCAATTTACTGCCAGAGGGCATGTGTGCTCACCAGACACAGACAGAAGGCGGAACGCCCTCTATGGAGCTTGGCCGCACCGCAATCCCTTCTGCTCACTTCTGTCCTGTCGGGATTTGGGGCATGCACGCACACGTGCCTGGTGTGTTTTTCAAGCCACTAGAGTAGAGATTCAAACCAAGGTCAGCCATGTGGGATCTGGCTCCCCTAGCCAGCAGGCTGTTAGGCCTGACCTAGAAAGTTCCCTCTAATGTTATTTCTCTTCGCAGCCATTTCCACTGAGACCTGGGTCTCCACACAGAATAACTCAGTCTCGAGAAACACTGAGACTTTGCACCTGATTTCGTACAGCTCCTTTCTCTGAAGTTCCCAGAGTGGACACCTTCCCGTCCTGGAGACCCAGTCACTTCACTGCCGTGACTTCGCACGTGAGCAGGAAGCATCAGGTCAGCAGCACTGGGCTACAGGACACCTGGATGCTCTGGCGAAAGCTGGCAGTGCCACATTTCAGAGGAATTCTGGTTTTGTTTGGTTTTCTTTTCTTTTCTTTTTGGAGAGGTTTTTCCTACAGGGCGCGCGCGCTTGCTAGAAAGACAGAGACAGAGACAGAGAGACAGAAAGCGAGAAATCACCCCCCGGGGGGATGGACACGCTGCAATCCCTTCTCCTCCATTCTCCTCTCAGGATCTTGGGCACGCACACAAGCGCAGCATGAGTTTTAAACCACCGGGTCCAGGACGCAAACCATGGTCGACTACATGGGAGTCCAGCGACATAGCCGTTATGCTATGGAATTCCTGAGGAATTCCTTTTTTTAACAGTCACTGAACACAAACTTCCTAGGGATTCCAGAGTTCCTTCATAACACAAGCTGTCCTTACCCAGGGGGCATTCTGTTTCTTGGGATCCTTAGATTTTGATGGATTTACTGAAAAGGTATCTCCTATAACTAACAAAAACAACCCCAGACAGAACTGGCTTAAGAAACAACGGGGGCCAGCAGTTAGCGTAATGGCTATGTCATTGGACTCCCATGTAGTCAACCACAGTTCGAGTCCTGGACCTGGTGACTTAAACTCACACCGGGCACGTGTGCGTACGTGCCCAAGATCCCGAGAGGAGAATGGAGGAGAAGGGATTGCGGTGTGGCCATCCCCCCAGGGGGGTGATTTCTCATTTTGTGTCTCTGTCTCTCTTTCTGGAGAGTGCATGTGTCCTATAGCAAAGACTTAAAAAAAAAAAAAAGAAAGAAAAAGAAAAGAAACAACTGGGAGACCAGTGGGTGGCACGGTGGTTAAGGCACTGGACACTCCCATATAGCCAACCAAGGTTCAAGTCCTGGACCCGGGGCTTGCTTTCCCATTTTCTCTCTTTCTGTGTGTGTGTGTGTGTGTGTGTGTGTGTGTGTGTACGCGCATGCGTGTGTGTGTGTGTGTCTGGTCAAATTTAAAAAAAAAGAATGAATAAATAAAAAATAAATAACTCTTTATTTTAAAAATTACTAAACTTAATTTAAAAAAAACACAGTGACTAACAACTGTTGGTGAGGCTGGGAACACTGCTGTTAGGGATGTGGAGAGAACCATCTGGTGGCTCCTCAAAAGGTGAACTGCAGGGGCCTCATGACCCTTCCCCCTCGTGGTGCGCGTGCGAGGTGGAAGCGCACGCCCACGGTCCGAGCAGCTCGCAGCCAGAATGAGGGGCCGCCCAGCTGCGTCGGCCATGGACGGAGAAGCCAGGCGAGGTCTCTCCGCCCAGTGGATGTGACTGCGTCATAAAAAGGAATAAATCACGCTACAACACAGATGAACCGTGAAAACATGCTAACTGAAGGAAGCCAGACACCAAACGCCACGCGCCGTTGGGCCTGGTTCCCATGACGCATGCAGAGTGAGTGCAGCGAGCAGAGCAGGTGGGTGGTTTCCAAGGGCGACCAGGAAGGCGGAGAAGGGGGTATAACTGCCAGTGGTCAGGGTCTCCTTCCCTTTTTTTAAACGTTTTTGCCATGGGATGTGTGCCCTTGCTGGAGAGAGGGACAGAGGAAAGAGAAAGTGGCTGTCCCTGGCGAGCTGGCCACGCCAGCCCCTTCTCCTCCTGCGATTCTGGGCACGCTCAAGTACCCGGCATGATTTTCAATTGAGTCCAGGGTGCAAACCAGGTCGGCCCTGTGGGAGTCCAGTGCCTTAACCACCACGCCACCTGCTGTTCCCCGGGGCTCCCTTCTGGGGCGGAGAGTGCATTCTGGACGGCACACACCACTGTGAGTGTACACCCCACTGCGGTCAGCAACTGGCGTGTGCTCAGGGCAGGGCCTGGAGACCGGCACCTCTGCTTACACACACCCAGCAGGAACCCACAGTCGCTGTGGCAGGGACACGAAACGTGCAAGGCGGGTTCTCTATGAGCAAATGCTATACGTGCGGAACACAGTCGGCTTGCCATATGTATGTTTTTATAACAAAGAGGAGAACAATAAGGTGGCCTCTCCCTGCACCCAGGGGCCAGCGCTCTGTCCCACCAGACGCGGCACAGTCCACGACACGTGCAGGAAAGGGGCTGTGGCTCCCGGCCCTCCCCCTGGGGGGCACCATTACACAAATACTCACCCTCAGTGCAAACACCACGTTGAAGAGGATCATGGTAGGTGCTTCCCTCTTTGGGGACGGGTCTGTCTTAGAGACCTGCAAACGAAACCTCGCTCTGATAACCCACAGCCGTGGCCCTCCCAGTCGGCTGCTCTCAGGCAGGGGAAAGGCCCAGAGCACAGCAGAGCCAGAGGGAGACAGAGCCCCTGCATCTCTGTGACGTGACTGGTACCTTTGCAGGAGAGCAAAGGCCGGTGCTGGCCGCCCAGGCAACGGGGTGAACTGCCATGCCCAGAGGACACGGGATGGAGGGGGCTCCAGTGGGAGGAGGCCCACGCCCCCACTGCCATTCCAAGTCCACCAGGCTGTCTGCCCAGCATGACAAGGACCCAGAACCACACTCAGGGCCACAGAAGCCAGAGTAGGCCTGGTGAGGGCAGAGCAGGTGGCCTCAGTCCTCACCTCTGTGGGCCCACTCAGGCACCCGGCCAGCTCAGCCCCAGATGCTGCACTTGCAGGGCGGGGGTGAGGAGGGCTCTCGGACGCCAATGACACCTGTCACCACCAGAGGGAGATGGAGGACTGGCCCCAGCTGTTGCCCAGATACTCCTCAGGAATCCCCAGGTCTGCCTGTCACCCAGCCCTCAGGGATGACTGTGGGCAGCTGCCACTCTCCCCGCCATCACCCACACAGGGGCCAAGCGTCCTCTGTGGAGGCCCTGTGAGAAGAGAGGGTGCTGTCCTTGGGGTCAGACACACCAGCCACCCTAGAAACTCCCGCCGTCCTACCCACGAAGGCTTACAACCCTATCACGGGCCCCACGCCATGTCCAGACCGTATTAACACAGCATGTGTCACATGGCCTCCCTCAGCCTCCGCGCAGTGCTTTCGTGGTCCTGTGTGCAAAGGGCTGACTGGCAGGTCGTGGGGCGCAGGGCCCCTTGGGTCAGCACCCCAAGCCGCTAACAGCCTCACCAGAACCGTGACATGCATGAAGGACGACGTGGCAGAGGGGCTCTAGGGCAGCTGGAGCTCTAGGCACCGTGTCCCATGTGAGTGGGAGGCCAGCTCTGTGGAACACTGAGCGCCACAGCTGCCGGCGACAGGCCTGGAGACAGGCACCCTGCATGGAACGGCGGCCAGTCCAGAGAGACCCAGAGTGCAACCGGCAAAGGCTGGGGCAGGCGCCACGGCGCCCGGGGGCACGCAGAGGGGCTCTAGGGCAGCTGGAGCTCTAGGCACCGTGTCCCATGTGAGTGGGAGGCCAGCTCTGTGGAACACTGAGCGCCACAGCTGCCGGCGACAGGCCTGGAGACAGGCACCCTGCATGGAACGGCGGCCAGTCCAGAGAGACCCAGAGTGCAACCGGCAAAGGCTGGGGCAGGCGCCACGGCGCCCGGGGGCACGACACCCACTCTCCCTGCCGCACCCAGGTCCTGTGACGACACATGGCTCAGGCCTGCTTCCCCAGAGCCAGTGTCGGCCATGGCCCCGGAGTTCCCAGAGCCAGAATGGGCCAGGCCGGTCTGCTGCCCGGGAGGGCCACGTCCGTGGGTACGTACCTGCCCCAGAGCGTGCTGTAGCAGGGTTGGGTGCCCAACAAACCGCACGTTATCGATCTTCAGCTCAAACTTCTGGCCACACATCTCAGACTTGGTTGCCAGAATTGTTGCCAGAATAGCATCGGAAAACCTGGAAGTTACAGAGAAAGAGGGGCTGAGCGAGCGGGGCTGAGGGAGTGGGACGGGGGAGCAGGCCCAGGGAGCAGGGGGCCCAGGGAGTGGGGGGACCACGGAGCAG